TTTTTTATAGTTTGAAAGGAGAAAAAAATTGTCCTAAAAAAACCTATTGATTACAACTTAAGACATCACCTTGAGAGCAAATGCTAGTTTTTGTTGTAGACTAGATGTGTACATTTATATACCAGTATGTTACCCTAAAACCAATTAGTAATATAGATTAGCAAGTTCATTAACTCTGAATAAGAGGTCTAGCATTAAATAATATATTTTTTTGATACCTAAAAGATCGTAGCTTGAAAATAAAAAATAAAGTTATAAGTATTGAAACCTAAGCTTTAAACTTATTAGATGTTATCTTTTAAATATGATTGTATGAATTAATTGAACTGAACTTGAAATTCATCTCTTTACTAATGCTGTTACAATATTTGACATTGAAATTCTTGATCTCTACCCAAAATTAATTTCATAGTGAATCAAAGCACAGAAATATGTAGTGAACTTGCGCAATGGGTTGTTTTCTATTTTTTGTGGGTACATATAAGGAGATGTAAAGGAAGAGTGAAGATTCTAACCTTGAAGAATGAGGGATCCTACTACTTATAAATTAATGTATCTATCTTCATTTAATATTTTATGTCAAATAAATGCAAAATAAAAAAAATTATCATATCAAAATTAGTATTTACATATCAAATACAAAGCAATATATATTTTTTATTTTTATTAAATCCATATATAATTTTTGTTAAAATTTTAAATTGTATTACTTTCATGTTTTTTTTTTATGCTATTACTATATCATGTTTAAAATTGACAAATGTCTTATCTAAGAGAAGCTTATAGCTTTTGAGGATTACCAGATGGCAACAATCAAAGTGACATCAAAAGCCAAACAAAATGGACAAAACAAATAAAGGAAAAACAAAAATAAAGAACTCATAATCACATTTACATTTACTTTCGAGTTCTATAATTGAGATGTAAAGGATTTAAGCCACTAGACTTTTAGCCAGTTTTGGCACCTATATATTTGATTGAATACAACTTGAGAAACTGTCACTTACAAAAACAACTTGCATGTCCTTAGCATGGCAGTAAAGAACAGCCTCATTGTGGAAATGTGGATAACACATGTAGCTCATAAAAGCTAAAACAAGAACCAGGAATTTGGTTAATAGACAAAATTTATAAAGACTGAAATTTTGATACAAGCCATTGATGAACAAGCTAACTTGTTATTACAATTAAAGATAAGGTAGAAGGAACATCTTTGATATTGGTAGGGACATCAAAGACAAAGCATCTGACAACATTTGTTTGTAAAAGTATTTGTATGGTATCACATACAAACATAAACATGCAAAGGCGTATTGAGGTGCTACTATAGTGCCACAGATGTTCCAAAGGTGTCATGTTGAACTTACATTAATGAAAGCTGATGACTCCTGCATCATTCCAGAATCTCTGGTCAACATAAGGGCTTGGCGTAAGAACAAAATGATAAGCAACTGCATAAACATCCACATAAATTTCAAAATGTGAGGCCAATTATCATTCTTGAGCAAAGAATGCTGAAAAAATGAGGGCAACAGAGCGAAGACAAGCAACGCTAGGACTATTTGTAGCAACATAATCTTCATACTCTCATTGGAGTTATTGGCTTTGAGAAGCAGTTAATTATATATTAATAATCTTCACGTGGGCTCCATGCTTGCCTGATCATGAATATTAACTTAAATGAAAATAATTAACTAAATAATTGCAATAAACAAGCAGTTATAAAGTTACATGAATGAGCAAATCACTTACTCTAGTTATCTCTTATTTTTATTTTCTTTTTATCTTCCTCTTAGTTTTCAAGTAACACTTATGTTCTACTTCATGTTTCAAATGATTAATCAAATATCGATGACATTAACCCTTACAATACGTTTGTTCATATATATATAGCCAAATCAATCTAAAGCCTGGATTGGATTGAAATCCAAGAACAACATTGGTTTTTTTCAATTGTTGTTGTTATTGAGTTTAGTTGTCCTTAAGGCTGTAAATGAACCGAATATGAATGAATGAACGTATATTTATATTTGTTCATTTGTTTTTAAAGGAGTTTGTATTTTTGGTTCGTATTTGTTAAGAAAATTGCTCTGTTCATTCATATTCGTTCGTTTAAATAATAAGTTGTTCTTATTCGGTTTGTATTCATTCAATTAAGTTAAATAAGTTCGTTCGTGAACATTAAACAAACATGTTCACGAACATATATAAATGAACAAATCATAATCAAACAAATTTAAATAAATAAACTTTAAACGAACATAAACGAATTCAAACAAATATAAACGAGCTTTAAAATATGATTAGGATAAATGATAAAAATATAATTTTATTAGTAGTATTATAAATTAATAGCAAATGAACAATAAATAAACGAGTCTTAAGCAAACAATAAATGAGTTTGTTTATGAACATAAATGAATGAATAGACAGTTATTCATATTCAATTCATTTAATAAATAATACACAAATAATGTTCAAAATTATTTGTTAAACTTAGTAAACGAACATAAATAAATAGAAACCGAATATATTCACAAACTATTTGTCAAAAGTTCTATTTACTTACACCTCTAGTTGTCCTTCACTTATTGAAGATGGCTGAAAACAAGTTGTTAATGTTCTGATTTTGTCTACTCAAACCATGAAAGCATCCACCACTTTTTCCTTTTTCTTTTCTCTCTAGTGGTTTTTTCTTTGTTTATTTGTTACATTTTTTTTGTATAATCATTTTAAAAAAGCATATTTAGTAATTTTGAAATTCAAATTATAACACTTAGAATCCATTTTTCTGTTCTTGACTTTTTTTGTTTAATTATGCTTATAAATAGGTTTTAGCTGGATGTTGAGAATCAAAATTAATCATTATTGGCCTTGATTTAAAAAATACCGTTTTTATCGAATCAAAATGAGTTAAAAACTTATAATTTGTCGAACACGGATTGATTTCGGATTGTCCCACGATTTTTATACTTTTTATAAGCAATATATGAATTTTTTTCCATTTATCAATTAAGTTAGTATTTCATTAAATCTAATTCCCTTTATAGTTGATATCTTTCAAATTTTATTGCATTTATAAAGATTCATTAAATTAGCATTATTGTTATCACTTAAAGTTATGGTTGAGATAAGATTAATTACTGTAATGATTAGAGTAAAATAAGTTATAAGATATGTATTAAGATATAAAAATAGTGATGATGGTAAAATAAATTATAATGAGAAGAAAAAATGATCTTTAAGGATATTAAACTAAAAAGTTACATGTAACAAAATTTTAAATTATTTAATATTTATAAAATTAAAAAATTATTAAAAAATTATTTTTTATGTCAAATAATGTTTTGTTAATAAACAATTAAAATGTATTTATTTATTATATAATATTAAAATTTATTTATTTATTATTTTATAATTTTTAAAAAAAATTAAAAGAAAAATAAAAAATAAAAAATAAGTTATAGTGACATTTTTGTTTCCACAACTTAACTTGAAGAGCAAAACAATAAAATAAAATTCAGTGATTCACTGAGCCAAAATAGTCCAATAAAAAAAAATGACAAAATTCAAATGCAAGTGAAAAAAAAAAAAGAATAAGCATATTTTATAGAATGACATATCTGTCCCATGATTTTTATACTTTTTATAAGCAATATATGATTTTTTTCAATTTACCAATTAAGTTAGTATTTCTTTATTCTTGATATCTAAACCAAAGATTTTATACAGATTATAAATGACTAAACTTATATTATAATTCATTGAAATTTAAGTTCTTAAAAAAATTAAATAATTCGATTATCACTTAAAGTTATGTGTTTGAATAAATTTTACGTAATTAGTGATTATGTTAGGAAAATTAATAGAATAAATCATTGAGAAATAGCAAAAAATTTTAGTTGAAATTTAAAAAGATTAAAAGATAATTCAAATTTACAAAGTGGGAAGGATTAAATTAATCAATTTATAAATTAAAAAAAATTTAATAAACATCTGATTTTCTATGATGGGAAATAAAAAAATAAAAAGTTGACCCACCATCCAGCCCGCCCACTTCAAGTCTGTTAAAACCCTAAAATGCCACACACACACACACACTCTCTCTCTCTCTCTCTCTCTCTCTCTATATATATATATATATATATATATATATGACGGTTTAGGAAAAGTAATGGTTTTCAGGGAAGACAGCCGCATCCCATCAGAATGGTTAGTTTCTTTCTCTGCTTTGAACTTCACTTCACTCCCTTTGATTTTCTTAACTCTTTGCATTTCAATTCTCAAGTTTCTTGTTGGTTGCTTTCTGTTGAATTACTGTGTAATTTTAACATGTTTTTATAGCTTTAATCTATGTAAACAAATGGAAATATTGTTTCTTTTGTTTTGTAATGTTGATTTTGGCTGTTGGGTTTTTTTGGGCATTCATAAAATTGGGTTTTTTCCCATGTCTTACTGATATCTGGCTGTTGGATGGCAATGGCAGCTTCAGACTTTTAAATATTTGTTTCACATATGGAGAAATCGGAAGTGTAGTTTGAATGGAATGTTAGATCACATGTTTTCTTTTGAATATGTTTTATGGTGGTTTTGAAATGGTGAAATGTTTTGCTTTTAGTTTTTGAATTACTAGAATTTCTGTTGTGTTAGATTTGGGTCAAGTTATTCTTTGAATGTGGAAATTCTTCTGCTTCAAAGTCTATGCATTGTAACAAACGGATGATTGGCTCAAGTGGGAAAGAGTGTGTTCCACTTTTTGTTGCTCAGGTTTGAATCCGTTGGAAGGATGTGGAAAGGTAATGTTCTATGAATTTCTTAGGTCTGGCTATGTAGTGGGCAGCGCCCATTAACCTCTTGCTGCTTAACCAAAAAAAGTCTATGCATTGTGGCTTTATTTAAAGTTTTCTTTTTGACTTGTCTATTGCAGGCTAGAGGGTTGAAGAAGCATCTGAAGAGGCTCAATGCCCCTAGGCATTGGATGCTTGACAAGCTTGGCGGCGCGCATTTGTATGTTATCATCTTGAACCTTTTGCTTCCTTACCAGTTTGACGCTGCTGCCTTTTAATTCTGTTTCTTGATCTTTGTTGTGCAGGCACCCGAGCCATCATCTGGACCCCACAAGTCGAGGGAATGCTTGCCACTTATTCTCATTCTATGAAACAGATTGAAGTATGCTCTAACATATAGAGAAGTGATTGCCATTCTTATGCACAGGCATGTTATGGTAGATGGGAAGGTTAGGACAGATAAGAACATATCCTGCTGGTTTCATGGTAGGTAGAGTTTGTATTTCATGGATTAATTGAAGTTTTTATATTCTAAAATTACAAACTTGCACAAATTTTAAGTTCAGTTTCTCTGATTTCCACGCCTTTGAGATCATACACTAAAGTCTTCTTTTGTTAATTGCTCTAATTTTTGAATTACGTGGGTTATTACAAACTCGCACAAAGTATAAGTTCAGTTTCTCTGATTTCCACGCCTTTGAGATCATACACTAAAGTTTTCTTGCGGTAGTTGCTCTAACTTTTGAATTACATCGGTTACTGAGGCTGGATTAGTTAGGCTGTCATTTTCTGATAATTGAGTTTTCTGGATTTACTTTGATGGTTCCTCTTTCAGGATTTGACTCCTTTTTGTAGATTAATCTCTTTGAATCTTTTCTTAACCATTCTTTGTTTACTACTTCCAGATGTTGTGTCAATTCCCAAGACAAATGAGGACATCCATCTCCTTTATGACACAAAAAGTCGTTTCCTCCTTCATGCCATCACAGTTGATGAGACCAAGGTTTGTACCAATGGGACCTCAATTTGTCATATTTCCTGTTACTGTTATTGAATAGTGGTTAAATTTATCTTACTTTTTTTGTCTTGTTGCTTGTGTTGTCATGATTGACCATGTTCTTTTGGTCTCATGCATTGCAGTTTAAGCTATGCAAAGTTAGGTCTGTCCAATTTGGTCAGAAGGGTATTCCATACCTCGACACCTACGATGGACGCACCATCTGCTACCCAGATCCTCTGATCAAGGCTAATGACACCATCGAGCTTGACCTAGAGATCAACAAAATTGTTGATTTCATTAAGTTTGATGACAGGAATGTTGTCATGGTCACCAGAGGAAGGAACAGGGGGCGTGTAGTAGTGATCAAGAACCGGGAGAAGCATAAGGGTAGCTTCGAGACTATCCACATTCAAGATGCTGCTGGGCATGAGTTTGCAACTCGTCTGGGCAATGTATTTACAATTGGTAAAGGAACAAAGCCATGGGTTTCACTTCCTAAGGGCAAGCCTATCAAGTTGTCCATCATTGAGGAAGCCAGGAAGAGGATTGCAGCCCAAGCTGCTGTCTAAATTTTGATGATTGTTATATCTGGAGGTGGTTTTATATATTTTTGTAAAAATTAAATTCTCCATGACTCCATCTCCTACGATAAAAGGTTTTGTTTTTCCTGTCATTTTCATCGAATTTGATTGAAAGATTGATTTTTTATTTTGTTTCAAGTAAAAATATAGTGAATTTGCATGTATCTTTATCTGGTTATTGTAAATTTAGAGTGAAGTTTAGTTGCCATGAACAAAATTTGTGCATGAATTGTTACTGACATTGGATTTTGCAGTTTTACTTATCTGAGCCTCCAATGGCTACGGTAGAGGACATTTCACCAGCTTTGGAGATTTTATGTACTTCATGATCATGTTCATGCTTCGCTTTAGAATTAATCTTTATGTAATTTGTTATCTTTTCTCATTTTTTTTTCATCCTTTGTGTAATCAGACAACAGGAGATCATTCTTGCTCGAATTAGGCATAAATGATATATTAATGCATACAAATTATTTAAATTTGATTTAGATAAAATTTAAATTTAATTTGATCATTGTTAAATTGAACTTAAGTTTTAGCAGCTCAACTTATTGAATGAGTCAAATTTAAGTTTTCTAATATTCAATTCAAGTGGTTTCGTAAACTTTATCAAACTTGTATATTTTAATATATAATTTAATAAAATTATTATTTTATCTTTATATATATATTAATTCAAGTTTGAATTTGAATTTGAACATAATTAATCGAGTTTGAATTATTTTAATTAAAAAATTATTATTTTATTTTTATATATTTATATTTATTAATTTAATGTGAATTCGAATTTAAATATAATTAATTAAATTTGAAGTCGAATTTAAGAATTGAGTTCTATTTTTTATTTGATAAACAATTTTAATTGAGTAAATTTAAAAAATTTGATTTTTATTTTTAAAATTTAAACTTAATATTTAAAATTCGATTGAGTTTAAATCAAATTTTAAATAGTAAATTGCACGTAAAGTCAGAGCTACTTGGGTTGATTACACCCCTATTCAGGAATGAACCTCCGTTCAACAATAATAATAAACCTGGGACTAAGCTTGAGAAAGTTCCTTGCATTAGTGCCAAGTTTAGTGAGGATGGTTCGAGCCTTATGGTGACGAAAACTGACGCTGCTATTAGTATTTATGACTCCAGCACCTTGAAAGAGATAAGATGTTTTCAAATCCCCAATCTTGCCGCTTCTGCCTTGTCTCTACACCCCAGGAAAAGAACGCGGTCTTATGGAGGATAGAGACCGGTGATCCTGTTTACCAGCAATTCCAGAAAACCATGACAAAGGCCACATGGTACAGTATTTGGGCATGCATATTTATATGGTTAGATAGTAATAAAAAATGATAAGAAAGTTAAAAAAATAGATGAAAAATTTACTAAAAATAGATTGATTAAGTTTAATACGAATATAAATAATATTTTAAAAAATTATTAAAAATATTATTTATAATTTAAAATTTATCGATATTTATTTAACGTTAAAAATTTTATTAATATTTTTATTAAAAGTATCTATTTAGTAAATATATCGAAATTCATTATAATTTTTTTAAATTTTATACGCTTGATCAATATGAAGAGATCTTTTAATATATCAGTTTGAATTTTTTATTTTAATTTTTATTTACTCATTTCTAATAAAAAATTTTATGAACTTCATTTATAAAATTTCATGTAAATTTTTTCTATCTACGAGACTATTGCTTATTAGTATACAACAAAATTTTGATAATTGGTACAAACAAACAGAAAATATTGCTTGCAGTCTTGTGATTAAGAATTATACGTTTTCTCCGAACACAAATTACTTAAAACTCCATCGTCCAACCCAAAACAATCATATTTTGCATTTGTTTCCACTTGCACTTTTTGTACGTGTTAGGCGCCATACCTTGAGGACTCCATCAAGACTCCCTGTGCGGATTGTGCAACCATCCTCAACCTCCTCCCCTGAATGCCCCAAATATGCAGTAACATATCTGATTGGTCCTCTATGGCCTAGTAAAACTGCTAGATATACATGTTGACCATCTTGTTCCCTCGTCCAATCCCGGCAAGATGAGTCAGCTGAGCCACTAATCACATAATTAAACACACTGGCTAGGCACATAACTGCATGAGTGTGACGCTGGAGAGCGCCACCGTGCTGCAGTTAGCCTGACAGCCAGCCCTTGAGCCAGTAGTATATGTAGCCATCGGTACACCCTCCATATAACACTCCCCCAACTGCAGTTAGAGTTTTAACAGGTGAGCATTTGGCTGGGAGGGTTACCATAAGTGAATGTGGTCACTCCCTCTAGAAAAGTTTCGCCGCCAAACTCTGACGGTGGCATCATCAGAGGCGGTTTAGAGTATTCCGTCGTCAGCCACAACAACAGCATTGATTGGCTGTGAATGTGCTAGGATGTTTTCAATGCACTTGAAGTCTGATATTCTCCAAACTTTCACAGTTCTATCAAAAGAAGCTGAGTATAGAATGTTATCTGATGTGTTGACTGCTAGTGATGCTATTGGCCCCATATGCCTCATCCGCAAATTAATTGAACAAGATTAATTTCACATTTCGAATAACATGAGAAACTGTTTAAGTAATGTTTGAAGTGGAAAATTGTAATTTGAAAATCATACATAGAGTCGGAAAAAAAAAAAGAGAATTAAATTAAGAGTGTACATCTGTTGACAGACTTTTTTTTTTTTTATGAGCGGTAGGAAGTTTATGAGTTTTGATCAGTATATTCCTTTTTAGATCGATCCAAACGGGCTTATTTATATCGTCTCTTGTAAATTAATAAAAATTACCTTCTCCTAATCTCATAATTAAATGTGTAATTGAAATGAATTAAGTTGATATAATTAAAAATTTGAATTCGATTTAAAATTCGATGCTCAAAATTTCACTCAAATTTGATTAAAAATAAAAATTAAATTATTTGAATTTGTTTAATTAGATTTGTTTAATAAAAATGAGCTCCATTTTTATGCTCGAGAAATTTAATTATGTGTTTGAACTTGAATTTGAGTTTGAAATGATATATATAATGGTAAAATAATAATTTTTTAATTAAAATTATAAAAATATATCAAAATTTAAAAGTTTGATTAAGTTTACGAATTACTTAAGTCAAATATTAAGATGTTCAATTCGACTAGCTTGATAAATTAATCTGCTTGAAATCAAATTTAGTTCAATAATGATCGAATCAAATTTAAATTTTATTCGAATTGAATTTGAATAATTTATGAGTATTAATATATTATTTACATCTTATTTACAATAAATTCAAATTTAAAAAAAAAAAAAACCACACACACTTCTCAAAACCCACAACTGTAAGACTATAAAACAGAAAAAAAAAAAAAAAAGGAGAAAATTTTAATTTCAAGAACTGACGTTAATTCTCATTCAATTGAAATTTCCTTATTTATGAACCCAACAAGAAATGGGAAAATTCTGTTGACAGCAGTATACCAGCTACCTCATTCTGAGACAAAGCTGAATGTAGTGCGTTAAACAAATTCAAAAGTTAGATAGGGTCCACACGTTCCTTTTGAGAGCTCAAAAAAGTTTGTCATTGTCAAGGCGCAAGCTTTTTTGCAAAGCAAAACAAAACAAAACCTACCTCCCTTGTTCCTTTCTGTAATAGTTAAAGTAATGGTGATAAGATGCCATCAATAAAACGACTATTTTAAAAAAAATTAAATTATTGAATAAAAAGGAAGAAAAGATACATACCCCTTAAAAATGCTTTAAGCAACATTATTAATAATTAAAAACTAATAATTAGAAAAGTTTTATATTATTGTTTTTCTCTCCTGACAAGATTAGCATAAAAATTATGTTGATATATTTTGGTTTTTTTCTGTTTTGTTTTGTTAGAGGATCTTTTTCATAAATAATAGTACAGATATACTAATTTAAAACCTAAAAAAACCTTAGCCCCTCTACCTACTGGCATTGGGAACCAGCCATCAATCCTATATATTAGAATCAACTATTAAATAGAGGAAGGATAAAAATGAAAAGTAGATTAGAAAGACTAAAAAAAATAAAAATGAAAAAATGTGAGGAAGGATAAGCTCAAGAGATTTAAAAATAGAAGAAAAAAAAAAAAAAAGGGAAAACAAAAGAAGAGAAAGGTTGGTGAGCAACGACTAAAGGTGAGAAACAAGGAAAAGAAGGGAATATGAAAGCTAAAGGTTTAGTTCGCTTTTATCATACTAGAATAAATTGTAACATTTTAGAAAATTAAAAAAGAAATATGAGTAAGTAAAGGTTAAGTAATTTTAGCCCATTAAATCCAAATTTTTAAGTTTTGTCAAATGTTAAACTAATAAGGTGTTTGGGAATATTGTATAGTTTACTTTTTACCATTTATTACATATATAAATTGTGTTATATATGTATATTTTTAATGTTAAATTTAAGATTAATGATTTTATTCATTTACATAAAAAATTGATAATAATAATAATAATAATAAAAAGATATTATTATAAAATTTTTCAATAATTGGAAGCGGATAATTTTTATTGATTTTTTTTCAAAATTATTCTTAAGATAAAAAATGATTTAATGGAGAATATTTTGAAAATAATATATGCATATATATTTTTTTAGCTTGAAAATTAAATTCAAGTAATTATTAAAAATTCAAAATAAATTAAAATCACATATGCATACTATTAATTATATTTAAATCATATTTTTATTTTATATTAAAATATTATGATTTTAAATAATTAAATATTATAAATTATTTTACTAATTAATTATTATTTTATTTGAGAATGTGTGAATTTAAATTTTTGTATAAAAAGCATATATATTTATTATTAAATTAAAATTTTAAATGATTTATATTTCATCAAAAATAAAAAAAAATGAGTGACCCGGGCGTACTTGGGGAATTTTCTAATATCTATATTATTATAAAATTTTTATTAAATTTGATGTCATGAGTAAATTAATACCAAATCAATCAATTATTAGCAATTATAAAAAATAAAATAAAATTGTTATAACAATATAAAATCAATGATATATATGTCTTTGCGTTATTTAAAAAAAATACCTACTTTTTTTTTATCAATTATTTGCTTCCAAAATTTATTTTTCTATTTTCAAAATACCATTTTTTCTACCAATTCTAGTATCAATTATTAGAAAGTGAAAAAAACTGATATGTATTTTGAATAAAATCATTTTAAATATTTTAAATTAATTGTTCTCAAGAGTAAAAATAAAAATATTTTAAAATTTAAATT